ATAGTTGTTTTGATTTGCATCTCTCTCAGAGCTAGGGATTTTGAACATTTCTTCATGTGCTTGTTGGCCATCTGAATGTCTTCTTTGGTGAAGTGTCTATTCATATCCTGTGCCCATTTTTCTATTGGATTATTTACCTTTATCTTGTTGTGGTTATAATTTTTGATGGATTGTTTTTTAAATATTGTAAAACCCTTTTCTGAAGAAAAGAATGTGTAATTGCTACAAAATTTGGTTTGGCTTTCTTACATTATTGCTGTTTCTTTTTTTAAGCCCCCAGGAATTCAAGCCCTAAGTGTCTACCTAAGGGAATCCGCGTGGCATATCGCTCCCAGAGCCTCAATAGAGAGCTACTTCGCAAAGATCCTGATCTTGTCACAAAACGGGTTCTTTCTGCAAGACAGCTAAGAATCACAGAGTTGCAGAATGAAGTGACTGAACTCCATGTCAAGTTAGCTGAGCTGCTAAAAGAAAATAAAGCTTTGAAAAGGCTTCAGTATAGACAGGAGAAAGCCCTTAATAAGTTTGAAGATACAGAAAATGAAATCTCACAGCTTATATTTCGACATAACAATGAGATTACAGCACTCAAGGATCGGTTAAGAAAATCTCAAGAGAGAGAACGGGCAACTGAGAAACGGGTGAAAGACACAGAAAGTGAACTCTTTAGGACAAAATCTTCCTTAAAGAAACTTAAAAAAATCTCTGAAGCTAGACATCTGCCTGAACGAGATGATTTGGCAAAGAAACTGGTCTCAGCAGAATTAAAATTAGATGACACTGAACGAAGAATTAAGGTAAATTTCCCGTAACTTCTTAATGTGCTGCCTTGTGGTATTTCTCATTGGGCATTGAGTGTGCTTCTTTTAAACTGCTTGTTGCAGTTTGCTCTTTTCTTAGATTTTGAAATTAATTTTGCTGTTTAAATTAGAAGAAATTAGAAATTTAAAGAGCAAATTGTAAAGGACTGTGTTACATAATGGGCTACAATTCAATGGATGACTGTTTAACTCTGAGTTTTAGACATTTTTTACAAATACTTTTACGTTTTTGTTTATTTAAAATGGAAAAAATACTGTGATCACTGTTACTTCTGCTCTGCAGGAGAAGGATGTGTATCTCCTCCAGTGGTTTACTGCCTCTGCATACCCGCGGAGGCACCTCTCTGAATGGGTTCTGGCTTAACAGCAAAAAACAACATCAACCAGTATATAATAATATGTCTAGCTCTGTGCCTTGCCTCTGAGTTAGCTGTCCCTTCAGTGTGATTACAAGGCTGGAAATCACCCGGGACGAGATTGCCCACCTTTCTACCAAGGAGCTCCTGTTGGATTTGAACCATCACAGAGTGGGGGCGGGGGTGTCTTTGAATTAGCAGCCCATTTTGCTACAAACTAAACTGTTAGAGCTCCTCATGACAGTAGATGTAATACATTATTAATTTGAAGTAGTATATTATACAGGCTAAAGTGTACTGTACCATACCACATACTAAACGCAATGATGAAGCAGCAGGAGGCTGGGATTTCTGTTTGGGAGCATTTTCTATTGGTTGGATGACTCTCACAGCAGGTACTACTCTCAAAGCTGTTGTGGAATCTGGAGAGGTTGTGCTGCTAATTCAGAGGTTGCATCTTCATCTCTGGGTAGTTCTAACCCACCACCATTCCATGGGCGAAAGCTAGACAGTCTCCTGTGGCTCCTTTTACATCCTCAGAAACCAGATGGAGGGTGAGCTCTGAGTCAGTTCTGACAGTAGTGCATGAGTGAGTGAATAATAAAATAATGCCAGACCCGACACCCCACACACCAAAACCATGGCTGTCCAGTGGATTCCAACTCAGTGATCCTCTATCAGGTGTCTGAGCTGTAAATCTAAAGGGGAAGAGAAGCCCATCTTTTTCCCATGAAGCCGCTGGTAGATCAAACTGCCTTGACCTTTGGATTAATAGCATAGCATGCTATGCACCATGTCACCAGAGCTCCTTATGTCAGGCTCAGATGCAATGTTGTTATACATGCAGTTGAATCAGAACCAACTCATAGCTTACTGTCCAGTGGGTTTTCAGGGCATTAAATAGCACAGGAGGAGATTGTTCATCTTTCTCCCACAGACCACCTTGTGGTTTGACATTACATGCCTTTGGGTTTACAGCACAATTCCTTACTAGTAGGCCTCTACTTGTTCAATATCGTGTCCATCAATGGTCTGGAGTGTTTAAGTCATTCTCTAAAATTGTATCTAAATGTTTTACTAAAGTTCATTTTGCAAATGAAAACTCAAAGTGTGCCTTGAAAGTGTAGTAAAGTTCTAGTCATTTCATCATTAAATTATGTTATTCTTCCCTAAGATAGCTAGCTGTGTGATATTTTTTGTTGTTTTTCTCTTCGTGTAAGTTTTGTTTTAAGAGTGTGTCGCCTTAGAGTTGGAACCTGTGGTATACAGCTTTGGTATTTGTTGATAGCTTATTTTAGTCCAGGAGAGATTTCAGGGTGCAGCTTTTATTCCCTTGTTGATTACATTTCAGTCTAAAGAAAACACTCTTCAAGTTGACTTATAAACATGAACTGTGGGAAAGTTCCCCTGCTATCTTAACATCAGTCAGTAAGTTGAATGCAGATTCTTTTGTTAGATTTTGGAAATGAAAGAATGCACAGGATTTCAATTACTTAGAAATATAATGGTTAAGAAATAGGCCCATGGTTAGAAAATAAATATCCAAAGGTATGAAAGGGGACAGCCATGTCTTCCCATTTCTCTCCACCTTGCTCCGCTGCTGTTGCAGTTGGTTTTCCTTCCTAAAAGTAACCTGTCTTGCTCAGTATCATTTCCCTATGGAGAAGTATTTGACGAGGTTAGCTTGTTAAGTTCTGCACAGAAGTCTAGCTCACTGAAACATTCAACATATTTACTTCCTTATTGACAGTTTTGTACCTTTTATTTCTTATCCCAATAAATTTCATAAACAGGGTCTTGTCAAATTAGTTTCCTATTTTAATATATTTCTCAATATTAATGGCAACATCATGATAGACAGTGAAGAGACTGAGATTGTTAACAGCTTTAGTTTGTTTGGCTCTGCAAACAACACTCTTGGTACCAGCAGCCAGGAAATCAGAAGACGAATTGCATAGGGAAAGTCTGTTGTCAGCGATATCTCCAAAGTACTGAAGAGCAGCAGTGTCAGTCTGGAGACTAAGGTGTGCTTGATCCAAGCCATGGTCTTTGCAGTTACTTGCTATGCATCAGAAAGCTGGACAATGACTAGGGATGATAGAAAAGAATTGACGTCTTTGAGTTGTGGTGCCGGAGAAGAGTATTGGATATACCAGGGACTGCTAAGAGAAAAAAACAGGTTTATCCTGGAGAGGGTGAAAGCAGGCTGCTCCTTGGATGCAAGGATTCTGAGGCTTCATCTGACATACTTTGGACATCTTACAAGGAGGGACCAGTCCTTGGAGAGAGACATCATACTTGGGAGGGTTGAGGGACATTGAAGGAGAGGAAGACCCCCAATGAGATGGATTGATTCAGTGTCTGGGGTAATGGGTCAGGGACAATAAGGTTGGCTCAGGCAGGGTTCAGGGCTGTTGTTCGTAGGGTGGTTGTGAGTTGAAGGCCACTTAACATAGCACATAATAACAATAACAACAATGCTACTTTTAAATACAACATTTAAGTAAAACTACATTATACACATAACCAAAATTTTACAGCAAAAAAAAAAACATTTTTAGGCCCCACAGTAATTTTTTTTTAATTTTTTCTTTTAATTATTTTTGTGTGAGTATACCGTCAAATCAGATCTGACTGGTACAGGAGAAGATTGTCCCTCCTTACCCAGCAGAGCACCTGGTGGATTCGAACCGTGCACCTCTGGGATTGTAATTGCAGCTCCTTGCCACTAGGCCACCAGAGCTCCCGACACACACAGCAATTTTAAGTCTCGATAGCAGTTATCAAATTTTTTGGTCTTAAGGTTCCTTTGTAATTTTAAAAATTATTGCCAATTTCTTACAAGATCTTTTATATGGGAATATATATGTACTTACCATATTAGATATGAAAATTAAGAACATTTAAAATACTTAATTTACTTAAAATAATGTATGCATTTTATCATACATTTTTAGTGGAAAAACTTAACCAAAGGTGTTAGAACAAAAGTGTCTTTGTTTTAAGTATTTATAAACCTCTTATCATATTATTTAATAGAATACAGCTGGATCTTCTTATCTCTATCATCTTGTTGTAGTATGTTGTTTTAGTTGGTAAGTCTGAAGAAAATTCAGCTTCACACTGATGTGTACAGCAATTAGGAAATGAAAAAGTAATTTTAATAGCCTTTTAAGTTAACTGGATATTCTTTGACTCTATACCAAAACTCAACTTTTAAGTAGTATTCTTAAAAGTTAATTACTGGTGAAACTGAAACTGTGTCAATGAACATTTTATATTCTGTCACATAAAAATCATTGTCCTTTTATGCCCTTTAAACGGATGTTTTACTCATTCATGATCTTATATCATTATGGGTTGGTCATTTTGAAAAATACTGGTTCATTGAGTTTACATTTATGATAGAGTCCCTGTAGTAGTCTGAATACCTTGGTTTTTAGGTTCTACTCAAAAGATGCTATTTACCTCATTCACATTATTAGCATAATTCTTCCAATCCAGCCATGTGGTAAAAGTGAAAGCCATTGGCTTGGAAGGCTGTCACCGACCACCCGACTACGGTCGTGACAAGAAACTCAAGGGGTTTCTTGGTGAAGAGCAGGTGAGGGACGAAGTCGGCGAAAATGAGAGT